CTATATTCTTGGTAGATGGTTAGTGGTGAGGACAATGATAATTTATTTGGGAAAAACAATGAGGTGAGATAATAAGTTAGTTTGATGTGAATGTCTGTATTTAGTAAATGGATAATTTAATATAAGGCTAATTTAGATGGTTGCTGATATGGTGGTTCATAACTCGATTCTGGTCTTCAACTCTAAGGCCTACTCTATTCCTAATCAAAGAAAAGAAGGTTTAGAAAGAGTATAAAGAGATGGAGGAGGCAAGGTCCTTTATGACCTTGAAGTAGATGGTCCTGAATGAGGAGATAAGGAGAATCAACAAGAGAATGTGGATAACCGTGAGGCTGAAGGGTTGGGCCTTGGCGTCTAGGATTGTAAAATAAGTGCAGGAAGTGACTTGGGCCTTGAGTTGGGCTTCTTAGGCTCGGAAATGAGTCCACCGCGGGTGAGAAGGGCCAAGCCGCGGTGCAAGATGCTTTGACCGTGGGTGAGAGCTATTTGACCTTCTAGACTCTGTTGATTTGTCTTCAGTGCATTGATGATATCTGGAGATCTAACCGTTGGATTGCATTGATTCCAATTCCGTTGGAAAGCTGGTTGTCTCCTATATAATGTCTCCATATTTGGGGATGCTCAGATGTTGAAAAGGTCTTAATTGATTTCCAAACTTTTGACGGTTTGAATTTATCTAAAAATGTACTTTTGCTCAAAAATGCACTCCATAAGTCCAAATTTCCTGAAAAGTCTTTTAAAACTCCAAGAACTAGAAATCACTTCTAAAATATTAAAAAATGAGTTAAAACACCTGCATATGACATTAAAAATGATCCATAAAAATGATAAAAATCCGGTGTTATCAACTCTCATAGACTTAGATTTTTGTTTGTCCTCAAACAAAACAAAGATTTACTCCTAGAAAAGAGGTTGAAAATCGCAGGAACTCACAAAATCTCAGTGATCATACTTCTAGACCATAATCAATCATCATGCTTCAGTTGGGAATAGCCTAGAAAATTCTCACCAAAATACAAGAATAACTAGTCCGTTAATCCGACATGCAAAAATATACACACTTAGACTTAACTTCTAGTCAACTAGCTCTTAACATTCATTAAAAGTTCCAGTGGTCCTCATCATAAGAAAAATAAAAAATGCAATTAAAGCTAGGTATTCAAAGGGCTTTTTAGGGGTGAGGTTTGAAATGTTTAGGCTTACCTAAATTTTTGAAGAAGCAGAAAATTATGCAAAACAGCAAGAGAGGATGGAGCTGTTGATATTCACAGTTTCCAGTCACTTTTTTCTTGCCATAAAATCTCTGATCTTCTTCCTCAGGTTCTCCTCATAGTTCCCCCAGACTTAGAATTTTGTCTAGGTTATAATATAATATAAAGTGTTAATACAGAAGCTAGTAGTGGTAGTAATATATATGTTTGTTGGTAGGAATCTAGGATTCGACACTTATTAAAAGAAAAAGATTGTAGTGTGGACATAATTGCAACACGGTTCAAAAGACATCGGATCGGGACAAAACAAACCATAACTCCATAGATGAATACTAGTTGCCTTTGCTCCAAATAATTTCGACAGTCTTAGACTCTTCAGGCTTTTGTTTCCTTTCCATAAATGAATACTAGTTACCTTTGCTCTAAATAATCCTCGCCATCCTCTTTATTTTTTTTAGGAAGGGAAAACACCTTAAGATATAACGTCTTAGAAGGCATGAAAATTACCATTAAAAATGAGCTCTCTTGGGCATCACAAAGTTTGATAAGATTGCTGATACACTTCCTCCCCAATTCCATTCAGTCCTTCTCTTGAGGGACTGAAAACTGTGTCGTTACTCCCTCTCCGACATTTTTGCACATATCTGCCGATAACAACTAAAGAGAGAATGCATGAGGTTCGAAAGTAAAGGTTTGGGTTAAAGGTACGATACCAGCTAAAGACGAACTGGCCATCTATGACAACAAAGAGTGGTAAAAATGATGAAAAAGATGTTGTGGATGTATATCTTGATGCTTGCCTATAATCAATGATGAGAAAATTAGATATCAATATTAAGTCCAAAAAGAACGAGCTAGTATATCCTGTCAGAAAGAATCTCTATGAATAGAAGTCCTCTAGTGGGAGTTCGTTGTGCAAGTACTCTAGCTACCGCTTAGTCTAGTACTAAACCACAAAAGAGCTATCTTGTATAGTGTAGAAGCATATAGGTCAAAATCATCATAGTTTTGTGTCAAACATTCCTGAAAAATACTAAAAAGGTCTTTAACAATGCACGAAAATTTTAAAAATTGTAGGAAAAAGGATAAGAAACAAAGAAAATAGATCAATACGGATAGACATCCTTCTACAGACTTAAATCACACTCTCCCCAATGTGTAAAAGTTGATGAGAATATAATAACTAACTAACAGTCAATGAAAGAAGTGGAACAGATGGTAGGAAATCATGTGTGTGTGAGCCGAAACTCGCACAACCAAAAATTTGTTAAGGAAAACTTAAGGAATCCGAAATTTCTAGGGTTTATTGCAAGATTTGTAAGATTAAAAGAAGGTTTTTTGCTGGAAAAGTGTTTAAGTCTTATTGCTCTCAAGCTGTGAAAAATTACATAATGAATCGTGTAAATCGCCTATTTATACTAACTCCCTAAACCGCCTAGCCGAGAATCCTGGGAGAGATTTTCAGAATATTTCCTTATCTTGTCGTGCGGCCACCGTCATAATGCTTTTGCCTAGGTTTTCAGTGGGCTCGCCTCTTCCGGCTCGGCCCACTTTCTCTTGTGTGCAGTTCGGCCCATCTTCTCTCATGCGCGGCTCGGCCCATTTGAATGTTCTTCACACGGCTCGGTCCACTTATTTCCTCCTCACAGCTCGGCCCATTTACAGCTTGGCCTACTCCTCTTATGCGGGGCTTCGGCCCATATTTGATGAATCGCTGGTTCTCCTTGCCAAATCGGCTCTCCGATGTTCTTGAGATGGCCAAAACCGATTGGGGTGAAACCGACCCCAACAGTTAGCCCCCCAGCTCGTCAGTTTCGGAGACGAGAGTGATGAGGTATGAAACTCTGAAGGCCGGTTTGACTATATTCACCGAGCTGTTGTGGTGCGGTTTTCCTGAGCCTTTCTAGGAGAGGAGGACGCCGAACTGTCGTGCCACTTCACCTGGTGAGGCAGTGTAGGAGCCGAGCCGTCACTGGGTGTCAACGACGGAGTGTTCTAGAATAATGCCGGGCCACAACATCTGAGGCGAAACTTAGGGGCAAGACATGTTCTAAAGAAGTTTATCGAGCCTTTGCGTGTCTAAGGATAACGACGAGGCATTTCTAGGAAAGCTGCTGAGCCATATCGTTTTCAACGATAATGACGAAGCGTTCTGATGAAATTGCCGAGCCGTCTTGTGTTAACAATAACGACGAGGCGTTCTTATGAGATTGGTAGCCGTTTTGTGTTTAACGACAACGACGAGGCGCTCTCATGAAGTTGCCGAGCCGTTTTGTGTTTAACGACAACGAGGAGGCGTTCTCATGAAGTTGCCGAGCCGTTTCGTGTTAACAACAACGACGAGGTGTTCTCACGAAGTTGCCGAGCTGTTTTGTTTAACGACAACGACGAGGCGTTTTCACGAAGTTGCCGAGCCGTTTCGTGTTAACAATAACGACGAGGCGTTCTTATGAGATTGCCAAGCCGTTTTGTGTTTAACGACAACGACGAGGCGTTCTCACAAAGTTGCCGAGCCGTTTCGTGTTTACAATAACGACGAGGCGTTCTTATGAGATTGCCGAGCCATTTTGTGTTTAACAAAAACTACGAGGCGTTCTCACGAAGTTGCCAAGCCGTTTCGTGTTTACAATAACGACGAGGCGTTCTTATGAGATTGTCGAGCCGTTTTGTGTTTAACGACAACGACGAGGCGTTCTAAGGACAGGTTAACGAGCCGTTTTAACAATGCAAGGTTAAGTTTTCGTGGTTCGACGAAATATTCTCGGATTAGTGTAGTTGCATTGTGGGCTCGGCGTACCTGGACAGCTCCGTACGGGAAGTGTTTAGCAGTCGTCAGTTTTCTTCAAGAAATTCTGGGTACTGGCGCGTATGGCGGACGCGCCACGAGGTTGCGTATTCGCCGCGGACTTCACGCGCCTTCATTTATTACCTTTGCGCCATCCCGAGGTCCACGCGGACTCCACGCGCTTTGGTTGTTCTATAAATAGGTGAGCTCCCTTCGTTCCTTCTCATAACTTCAGATCTCTCATTTTTACTAAAGGTAACTCTCCCTTCTCTCTTCTTTCTCTCTCTAGTTTATTTATTTTCCGGCTAGGGTTCCAAAGTTCTCGCCGTCTCAGATCTTTTTCCGACAAAGCGCTGTAATTTTGGTGCGAGCTGTAAAATATGTCGAGCCGTTCGGGCGATTCGCTAGAACCCCTGTTCAATTATGAAACGAGCCGTGCAGACGCCATAGCGAGGAGTGCGACGGGGTCTTCCGAGGCATTTACTTTGCCGAACCCCTCCAACAATTCTGCCAAGGATCGGGACATGTCGAATTCTCCGAGCCCTTCTGGCGCTTGTTCTGTTAATAACGAGGTGTCTGATTCGACGAGCCATTCTCGGGGTCCCGTCAACCAAGAGGAGGTTGACTACGCCGCGGTTAAGGCCGAGGAAGAAGTGTTTCCTTTCGACCCGGTTGAGGCAAGGCTCGAATTAGAGCGGCTTATGGCATCCCGATGTGCTTCTTCTTCTGGGAAGGGAAAGCCCAAATGGGTGAAAAGGCAAAAACCCGATCCTCCCGGTTCCACACTCTCCTCCCTCGAATCGCTCGAGGCATTGCGTCATCGCTTTGGAATATCCGAAGCGATCGAGTTCGTCGTTCCGGAGAAGAGTGACCGAGCCGACAAGCCTCCCGAAAATCACTTCACCTTATACAAGGCGTTTTTTGAACTCTGCTTCCTATAGTTCCCAATCCCCGGAGTTATCCTTGAATACTTGTGGGAGCATGGGATTTCGATTGGACATATTATGCCGAGAGGTTTGCGACATATGATCGGCATCCTCGTTCGGAGCTTCGAATGTGGTGTCGAAGTCGAACTCGGTCATCTGCTCAACCTATTGGATATCCGGAGAGCCCCGGGAGGAGGCAGATTTTATATTTCTAATAAGTCCAATCGCCGGATCATAGGCGGTTTCCCAAGCAAAGATCAGTTTTGGACTGAACGTTTCTTCTATGTTTTGGTGAACGAGGCATCGGTGGGCGAGGGTTTTGTGCATAAAACGAAGACTGTTTGGGGACCACTTGGTAGTCGATCCGAAGCCTAGTTTTGGCTCGGAGCTTGTTATGGTGCGATTTCTATTTTCTAACTTAGTCGTTTTAGCGTTGTTTTTGCAGTTCGGAGTTTTCTTCCTCCTGTTCCCGATGACCTTTTCTCTGTTCGAGATACTCTCGCGGCTCGGAAGGTTAACTGGAGAAAGCACTTCTCCTTTGAGAGAATAGAGAGAGCCCGAGCTATCCTCGCCGGGGTGTCTATCAGTTCCTCTTCATCCAATTCGTCGGGAGATACGAGAGAAAAAATGGTGATTATTACGCTCAGGGATAAGAAGCGACGCGAAGCCGAGGAGATTGCTAGGAGAGTTGAACAAGCAGCTCCTGCGGTGACAGAGGCGGTACCTCGGGATGAGCCACCGAGGCTCGAGGGGGACGAAGTCGCCCGGGCTGCTGACGAGACCGCTCCCGAGGCAACGGCGCAAGAGACAGCGCCCGAGGTGGAACCGGGAGAGATTATTCCCGACGCGTCTGGGGAGAATTCCTCGGCTTGGGATAAAACACCACCTACCTCGGCAATTCTGGCCCTTCCGAAACAATCAAGGCCTCCGGCTTCGAATCTGCTGAAGCATGATACCAGCAGGAAGAATTCGGCTATGGAAAAGGGCAAGGGGGTGGCCATCCAAAAAGACGAGCCGTCCAAAAAGAAACGCAAGTCGGCGCCCAACGAGCCCGCATCTCGTAAGCTGATTGTTGACGACCCGGCTGCTTCCGCGGTGATGTTCGCACACGTCAATAATGCCAACATTTGTCTTCCGCCTCCCGAGCAACTGAGGCGATCGAAGTCCTATGCTGCCATGGCGCAGCGCGGTACCAAGGTACCTTTCTAACTCGTTTCTTCCTTGCTATCGAGTTGTCCTAGAGTCTGACATGCTTCTGATTTTTCAGTTTGTCGCGACTATCAACGAGATGATGGCCGGTATGAATCAGACTTAGTTAAAGATGAGCGCTGCTTGGAGGAGGCTCGGAAAGAGGCTGCGACGGCTAAGAGAAAGTTGGACGAGGCGAGGGCCAAGATTAAGAAACTAGAAGAGGAGAAAATAACTCTTTGGGCCAACGTTGAAAAGGTATCATCCGTGGTGACTCGTCTTGAAGAATCCAGAAGAGCCAAAAGTGCTGAGGAGGCTTTGTTGAAGAGACGCATCAAAGCTAAGGATGCCTTATTCGATGCTAAGGTGAAAGGGCCAAGAAGGAGGTGAGGCGCGAATTGACGGCTAAGTTCCAGGAGCGTCTTGCCAAGGTGGAGGAAGGTCTGGCCAAGCTGGAGAAGGCCAAAAGCGACGAAAACGAGCCGGGACAGATCAAAGGAAATCTCGCTATGATTGAGGAGCTTCGAAAACTCGACGGATCTTTGGACTCTGAAGAGGCAAAGTTGAAGGTTTGGGAGGCCAAGTATGTTGACGACGAGGCGTATGACTGCATTGCGTCTGAGATCCGAGGTGGCCTAGTATTCTGGCCTGTGTCGCCAGATTCCGTCGATACCTTTTTAGGTAACGAGCTGATCGAGGAGACGGCGGCTAAACTCGGTGTTGAGGATCCGACCGGATCAAATGCGGGTACTCCTGTTCTCTCGAACCTCCTTGCTGAGCGAGAGACGCGTTCTGCTGCTTGATTTCTCTCCTTTCTCCCTTGTCTTTTACATTCACTCTTTTGTACTCAGTGCCTGGATGGCTTTATCCTCTTTTCGAACTCGCATGTTTCTGTGATTGGTGCCTGGACGGCTTTATCCACTTGACTATTGTTTTTATGGGTGGATCGATTTAGCTGTGGTTATATTCATCTTTCCCCTTAGTCATTTTTTTTTGGAATTGCTGTTTTTGTCCTTGGTGATTTATGATTTTTTTGAGGAAACTGTTGTTGGAACGAGGTGTCGTCGACTGGTTTGTCGAGCTGGGCTGAGAGTGCTTTTGTTTGCTTCCCTGGCCGAACTGTTACGAAAGATCGATAGAAAGCCGGATTAAGGTACACGCTGTTAAAGATTCTGTTTAAGTCTAAATCCCGAGCTGGGAGTTAACTCGTGACGCGTTCTTGTTTTAGGTAGCTCTTAAAAGAGATTAATGTTCTTTTGTGCCTTCACCCGTTAGTGCCGAGGCGTTTGAGTTAGGAAAGAGAGAGTGCGAGGCATTTTAGATCGGATTTGGTTTTGGCCGTTTGAAGCGCTAAGTTTGGAACTTTCGTTGCCGAGGTCTACGTCTTGAGACGATATTAAAGTTTGATTATAGACCGGCGTTCCCGAGGGGGTGAATGCGTTTAGCCGGGTGTTAAGAGTTTGTTTTGGTCTTAGAGAAAGCGATGTAGTCTCGACTTACAATCTCGTGTGCGATGACGAACCGTGGCGACCGATACGTTTTTGGTCTGAAATTTGTATAGCGCGCTTGATTTTAATCCATAGAGGATGTGATTTGCACCCTCGTCCTAGGAAAGGTGGTAAAAAGTCCATTTAGAGAACTTTGTGACTGTTGCCTCGTTGTGGCCAGCAACGAGGCGAGCTGTTTGGAACTATAGAAAGTTTGCCGAAGTGAATGCAAGGACAAGTGCAAGTCTAGGGGAACTGTACATAGGTGATGAATGAAAACTAACCGAAGTGACAATGAACGAATTAAAAATCCGAGGTGAACATGAAACAACTAATTGGTTTAAAACGAATAAAACAACTAGCCGAAGTGACAATGACCCTAGAGGTAGTAGACTCGACGAGCTAAAGTTTTAAAGTTAATGAAGGTATGTGTATACGTACCCACTCCCCCCCCCTCTTTTTAGGAGGGGGGACAGCTGAACCCGTCCGAGGACAGGCTGCCTACGTATCCTTTGAAGGGATCAAGCCGTCCCATAGTTTATGCTGATGGTGTTGTAGCCTTAGTGATAGTACTTCTTTAGGTGCATTGCGTTCCACGACCTTGGAATAGCTTCGTCAGCTACCGTCGCAAGTTCATAGACTCCTGGGCGAACTACTTTTGTAATCTTGTAAGGACCTTCCCAATTTGCTCCGTGCTTTCCTGCATTCTTCTCGGCAGTGTTTTGGAACACTTTTCGAAGAACGAGCTCTCCTTCTTTAAATCTTCGACTTCAGACGTTTTTGTTGTAGTATCTCGCCGTTGCCTATTAGTAGTTCTGGATTCGGATTAGAGCCTGGTCGCGCCTTTTGTTGACCAGGTCGAGTTTGTCCAGCATCATTAAGTGATTCAAGTCCTCCTGTCATGGCAGAAGTCTTCGTCGAATCCCTGGGAAATCCACCTTGGGGGGAATTACGCACTCCGTTCCATAGACTAGAGCAAACGGAGTTTCTCCAATGGCTTGGCGCGGAGTTGTCCGGTGCAACCAAAAGACTCCTTCGAGTTCGTCTGCCCATCGCCCTTTCTTGGCGTCGAGCCTCTTTTTCAGACCGTCTAGGATCGTTTTGTTGGCTGCTTCGGCTTGTCCATTCCCCTGGGGATATATTGGCGTAGATTTGCTCAGACGAATTTTCCATTTCTCGCAGATTGCTTCGAAGCGAGTTGAGATGAACTGGGATCCGTTATCGGTGACTATCTCGTAGGGGACCCCGTGTCGGGAGATGATATTTTTCCAGACGAAGTGTTCGACTTGAGTGTCCTTTATGCTCGCGTAGGAATCGGCCTCGACCCATTTAGAAAAATAATCCGTAAGGACGAGCAGAAAGCGCTTCTGCTTCGATCGGTGTAGAGACTCGACTATAATCATCTACCATCTCATGAAGGGATAAGGTGACGAAATCGACGACAGCAGCTCGGTAGGTTGGTGGATTTTAGGCGCGTGCCGTTGACACTTCTCGCACTTCGCCATAAACTTCTCGCAGTCCTTGACCATCGTAGGCCAGAAGTAACCGTGCCGTTTTATCTTGATCGCAAGTGACCTTCTGCTAGAATGATTTCCACATGCGCCGCTGTGCACCTCGTGCATTATCTTTCTTGCCTCCGGTCCCTCGACACATGTCATGAGCTGTCCTGAAAATCTCTATTTAAATACTTTGCCGTCGACGAGGACGTATCGCGCGGCTTGATCCCTTAATTTGCGGACTTCTCACTTGTCGGATGGTACATCTCTATCGGCGATATATACTCGGATGGCTCTGAGCCATTCTTTGTCGCAGCCGTACTCCAGCTCGGCTAGTGAGGCGTCTTCGTCCATAGCGGTTGCTTCGCCGTTCTCTGGTTATCCCTCGGGAGGATTTATCAGCCGAACTCCTTCTACCTCTTCTATGCTTGGGCGTTCGATGAATTCGAATGGAATTGTTCGACGGAGATCCGGGTCTGAAGTTGAAGCAAGTGCTGCTAAGGCGTCCGCCGAGGTGTTTTCACCTCGGGGTATTCGTGTGAGTTCGAACTTGTCGAACTTTTGAATCATTTTTATAGCTCCTTCATATTTTACACCATATTCTTCACTGGTCTCAGCTCCTTTGCTCCCAAATGCCTCCAAAGCACCTGGTAAACACTCCAAATATGCAAGACTCACTTAGACCTGATGCAATTCCTATAAAACCTAAAACAAAGATAAAAGCTAGAAAATATATCTATTGTGCATGAATAAGAGTCAAAACAAGGAATAAAATGCATGCTAAATAAGGTAAAATTATGAGAATATCAATGTTCATCTCTCTATTTGATTTGTCGAGACCTTGTAACAGCTGCTGAACATTTTGTTCAACCTTCATTCATCTGGTTGCTTAGATAAGAGATGGTTGCCTCTAGTGAGCTGGTCTGCGCAGGTTGAAGGTTGAATGGTGGTCTTTGTTGAAAGTTTCCTCCTTCATATTTCCCATTTTGGAACTTTTTGGAAATTTCTTTGCTGCTGCGGATAAGACTGGTTCTGAGGGTTCTCTGTCCCTTGATTTCGGTATGAGAGATTGTTGAAGTTTGGATTTCTAAAGTTGTTGTTGAAGCCATTGTTGAAGTGACTTTTGTATGAACCTTGTGCTCCCACGAAATTGACCTTCTCTTCTTGAGCATATGCGAAATTTTGATCATCCTCATAGCTTCCATAATCTTTGTTACCTACAGAAGTTTCACAAGCATGTGCATTCTTATTTTGAAAATTAAGAAGTTGACTTACCATGCTTTTTAGCTCAGCAATCTTCCTTGACTCATGACTAATGATGGTATTCTTTGATCTATCATAGTTAGGGCAGTTGTTGCTGTTGGATGCAGCAAAGATTCTCGATGAGTGCTCTTCCTTGTGTCACCGTCTTGGAACTAAAAACTCCATCACTAGCTGTGTCAAGAAATAGTTGATACTTCTGCTGAAGTCCTCTGTAGAAAGTGTTTGATAACACCGTATTTTGACCATTTTTATGGATCATTTTTAAATACTTTTTCAATGTTTTTTTTAAGTATATTTATTATGGTTTTCTAGTATATGTAGTTTCAAGACTCTTTTCAAGAAACTTAGGAAAAAGCTTAGCAAAATGGATAGAAGACCAGATTTTCAGCTCAGAGTCAACCTGTCAAAAGTTCACCCTCAAATGAAGACCTTCTCACCGTGTGATACAGCTCAAATTTGGAGACCTTAAAGATGGAACACTAGCTTTCCAGCACACTTGACACTAAGACGATCCAACGGTTCAATTAAAAGTTCCGTGAAGAGAAAAATGTTCCGTCAACCAGCCGGCAAGCAATCCTGACCGCGGCTAGCACCCAGTTTACACAGGTCACGTCTCTTCCAACCGCGGAAATCGATTCCTTCATTTGGAGAAACCCTAAGTAACGTCCAGAAATAAATTGATCACTATAAATATATGTTTTAGTAACCCTAGACGAGAGAGAGATATATGTTATTATACTCTTTTATGTTTTAGAATACATTTTAAGTTTTTAGTTGTTTAGGGAGATAGAGATCTATCTCTTGAACCCTCTTTGTAAGAACTCGATTTCAGTACAGCTTTTCATTACTATGTTTTTACTTTTTTAATCATGTTTGAGTAGTTCTATTGTTTGGTTTAAAGGATTTTCGATGGGGAACCATATATGTTCGATGAGGATTCCATTAGCTATTAAAGCCAAATCCTAGAACCTTTTCTTCTAAACTTATTTTTAATGCATGGGAGTAGCGTCATGAGCTATAATCTGATTCAGGTTCATAGTGTTGCGAATATTTTCATTAGGAGCAAGATCTAGTTTGAGAAGAGCAATTCTGCCATAAGAGTGGAAACCTACCTATGAATGAGCTGTGAATATTGACGAGTCTTAAGCAAGCTTGCATCTTTTATCCTTCCAGGTCCAGAGTGGAAACCTACTGGTAAGGGTTGCGAGAGATAGTTGGTTATGATTACGAGAGTGTTGTAGTCATACATTCGTGACTCGAGTTTTAAAACTTTTAGCTAAGATATTTTAAATTACTTTTAGCTATGTTTTGAATCGTTCATCCCCGGAGATATATTCCCTGAAAACCCAACATCTCGTTTCTATTGTCTTACACCGATTTCATTTAAGCTTTTAGTCATTAGGTTATTTCTTTCATTCCCAGCCGATTTTCATTCGAGTTTTAGAATAGGTTTTCTTTAGTTTTTCCAGCGGACTTTCTTAAGTCCTTTTCCTTTTCCCGTTTAGTTTAGAATTTACCTTTTAATTTTGACCAGTTCATAGACTTCCTTACTTCATA